GTCTGTCTGTCTGTCTGTCTGTCTGTCTGTCTGTCTGTCTGTCTGTCTGTCTGTCTGTCTGTCTGTCTGTTGTCTGTCTGTCTGTCTGTCTGTCTGTCTGTCTGTCTGTCTGTCTGTCTGTCTGTCTGTCTGTCTGTCTGTCTGTCTGTCTGTCTGTCTGTCTGTCTGTCTGTTTTTTTTTTTTTTTTTTTTTTGTCTGTCTGTCTGTTTTTTTTTTTCTTTTCTGTCTGTCTGTCTGTCTGTCTGTCTGTCTGTCTGTCTGTCTGTCTGTCTGTCTGTCTGTCTGTCTGTCTGTCTGTCTGTCTGTCTGTCTGTCTGTCTGTCTGTTGTCTGTCTGTCTGTCTTCTGTCTGTCTGTCTGTCTGTCTGTCTGTCTGTCTGTCTGTCTGTCTGTCTGTTTTCTGTCTGTCTGTCTGTCTGTCTGTCTGTCTGTCTGTCTGTCTGTCTGTCTGTCTGTCTTTCTGTCTGTCTGTCTGTCTGTCTGTTGTCTGTCTGTCTGTCTGTTGTCTGTCTGTCTGTTTGTCTGTCTGTCTGTCTGTCTGTCTGTCTGTCTGTCTGTCTGTCTGTACAAATTTCTATCGAAGACAAAAAAACCTTTGAACTGCGCACCACTAGGGTTACTGTGCAGATGTCAAAAGATAAAGCCGCCGCTTAATAACGCAGATGTTGGTCTCTGAGTAAACCGTAAAATTCATGTTAGTCATTTAAGAAATATACTCGTATTTCAATAAATAGGTAAACTTACAATAATAAACAGATCTGAGAACGGTTGTTATACCCGTTACTCGTAGAGTAAAAGGGTATACTAGATTCGTGGGATAGTATGTAACAGGCAGAAGGAAGCGTTTCCGACCCCATAACATTCTCGACCAGGATCACTAGCCGAGGTTACTGATGTCCTTCTGTCCGTCTGTCCGTATAAACGCTGAGATCTCGGTAACTATACAAGCTACAATACAGGGATTAGGCATGCCGATTCCTGAGATTCCTGCGCAGCGCACTCTAACTCCCACAAACCGTTCAAAGCTGTGGCTCCTACAGTTTTGATGCTAGAACAAAAATTGTAACTGAAATGTATTGGTCTCATCAATACCTATCGATTTGCCACGCCCACTTTAACGCCCACAAACCGCCCACAAACTTCAAAAAATCGTAAGTATGAACGTGGATATCTCGAAAACTATCAGAGATAGAGAATTGGGCTCTCAGATTTAGATTCCGTAGCCTTGTACGCAGCGCAAGTTTTTTACGCCAATATCCCACGCCCACTCTAACGCCCACAAGCCGTCCACACCTGTGGCGCCGACAATTTTAATGCTAGGTAAAAAATGTTAACCGAAATGTATTGGTCTCGTCAATACCTATTGATTGATCTGATTGATTTGACACGCCCACTCTAACGCCCATAACGCTTAAATCATTCTACCGCCGGAAGGTGGCGCACTTCAATCTCGCTTTGCTGCTTGCATATCTCAATTTCCCTTTGGTCCCTTTAGCTGAGTATCCGATAGACGATAGACGAGGTACTCGACTGTAGCGTTCTTCCTTGTTTTCAATTCATCTTTTTCAATAGTACATCCTAAATAGAATTTTTTTTAAAACTCGAAACTCCGTCACGGCATGACGTACATACAATTGCATCAAGATTTGCATATGCAATTGGAGAGGGACATTTTGAAAAATTATCTAAAACGAATGAATTAAAAAAGTTATATGTGTTCCGCCCTTAGCTTGCATAATAATTATTCAAGACTTTGTTACCAAAAAACAAGATGAATCTTGCGATTGTTTGGCTCTTCATAATTTTAAGTGCTGGTAAAACTTTGAAAAGTCCATTAAAAAGAATGTGGACGAAAACTTATTTATTTATATCGTAGATATGAACGAGTGCGGCCTTAAGAGCCATGCGGAACTCATACGCCAAGCAATAAGGGTTGATAATAAAATAAAGGATCTTGTCCGTAAAGTCACTGGGTTTGCAAAAGGCAATTCCGAGTTTAAGGAAAAATATGAAAATTTAAGGATTCCGTTAATGCAGAATTATACCAGTCTGCATAACAAAATAGACCATGTCAAAGTGTTTGAAGACTACAACAAGGAACGACTTTACTTAGAAAAAAGTATATTGTCGGTGATTTTTAAAATAAATACATCAACGTCTGAAAACTGTAAAATAATTCATAAAAGTCTTCGTAAGCATCTGGTTTTAAAGCTGACCGATTCAAATGTAAAAAAAATTGAGGCCCTAAAATATGTGCAAAATCGGTAAGAATTTTAAAAAGTTTGAAATGTATATATACCCGTTACTCGTAGAGTAAGAGGGTATACTAGATTCGTCGGAAAGTATGTAACAGGCAGAAGGAAGCGTTTCCGACCCCATAAATTAAATAAATTCTTGATCAGGACCACTAGCCGAGTCGATCTAGCCATGTCTGTCTGTCTGTCTGTCCGGATGAACGCTGAGATCTCGGAAACTATGAAAGCTAGGCTATTGAGATTTGCCATGCAGATTCCTAAGCCTCTTACGCAGCGCAAGTTTAACGCCCACAAACCGCCCAAAACTGTGGCTCCTACAGTTTTGATGCTAGAATAAAAATTTTAACTGAAATGTATTGTCGTCATCAGTACCTATTAATTAACCCAAAAAAAAATTTAAAGCCCACAAACCGCCCACAAACTTTAAAAAATCGTAGGTATGAACGTCGATATCGCGGAAACTATCAAAGATAGAGAATGGGGATCTCAAATTTAGATTCCGTAACCTTGAACGCAGCGCAAGTTTGTTACGTGAATATACCACGCCCACTCTAACGCCCACAAGCCGCCAAAACCTGTGGCGACCACAATTTTCATGCAAGATAAAAAATTTTAACTGAAATGTATTGGTGTTTTCAATACTTATCGATTAATTTACAAAAAATTTGCCAAGTCCACTCTAACGCCCATAACGCTTAAATCTGCTTACCGCCGGAAGGTGGCGCATTTCAATCTCGCTTTGCTGCATGCATATCTCCATTTCCCTTTCGTCCCTTAAGCTGAGTAACGGGTATCCGATAGACGAGGTACTCGACTATAGCGTTCTTCCTTGTTTTATTTTACAATATATCCATTTTACATATGTATTGGCAATTGAAATTAGAAATTTTTTTAACCGTTACTCGTAGAGTAAAAGGGTATACTAGATTCGTCGAAAAGTATGTAACAGGCAGAAGGAAGCGTTTCCGCACCATAAAGTATATATATTCTTGATCAGGATCACTAGCCGAGTCGATCTAACCATGTCCGTCTGTCCGTCTGACCGTCTGTCCGTCTGTCTGTCCGTCCGGATGAACGCTCGGAAACTATAAGAGCTAGGGTATTGAGATTTGGAGTGCAGATTCCTGAGCTTCTTGGTCTTCAAATTTGTTTCAGCAAAGTGCCACGCCCACTCTAACGCCCACAAGCCGCCCAAAACTGTGGCACCTACAGTTTTAATGCTAGAATAAAAATTTGAACTGAAATGTATTGTTCTCATCAATACCTATCGATTGACCTAAAAAAAAGTTGCCACGCCCACTTTAACGCCCAAAAACCGCCCAAACCTGTGACGCCCAAAATTTTCATGCTAGATAAAAAATATAAGCTGAAATGTATTGGTCTTGTCAATACCTATCGATTGATAAAAAAAAAGTTTTCCACGCCCACTCTAACGCCCATAACGCTTAAATCTGTCTACCGCCGGTAGGTGGCGCATTTTAATCTCGCTTTGCTGCAAGCATATCTCCATTTCCCTTTGGTCCCTTTAGTTGAGTAACGGGTATCTGATAGTCGCGGTACTCAACTATAGCGTTCTTCCTTGTTTTTAAATAAGATTAGGCAGTAGGCGTGGCAACCTGCTGAAAAAGGCCCGCTCTACGAGTAAAAGGTACACTCAGAGAAAAAACCGTTCTCAGCGTTCTTGATTTCGGTATTTTCAATCTCAATAGTGAGCCAAGATCGACTCATACTAAAAATCCTAAAATCATCATCGAAGACTTCTCGGCTTACGAACGGGCTTTTGAGAATGGTCGATCTTGATTTCGTTATGAAACGTTCTCGGCTTCAACATCGAATCGATCTCGATTTCGAGAAGAACCGATCTCGCTCGATCTCAGAATACATTCTCAATAAAAAGGCAAAATTATTTCATTTTATATATATTTTTTTTTATTTTTTTTACAATAAACATAAACTTTACTAAAATTTATTGTGGGAATTAAAAAATGCCTAATTTTATATAACATAAAATTATTCTTATTTAAACCTCCTTCCACTCCGTCAACCCTGAAAAGCACACGGAACCCAATCGGCGGGATGGCGTCTTTAATTTCATCATTGTTTATAAACTGAAGCCACTCGTAAGAAGGCACCTAAACAAGAAATAATTTTTATTAATACTGTACAAACATATACCCTTTACATTTATGTCGTGCTTAAGATGGCTGCGATTAACAATCACAATCTATTACATATGAACATATATAGTGGCATATCCATAGCACCACGTACTCCTATGTACATGTCCACACAACCACACATACATGCTCACAATACGCAGTCACCCTCGGGACACCCTCTAAGAAATAAGAACATAAATTTAATTGTCAACAAGCCAATGGAAAATTACCAAACTATAAGCAAGCCAGAGGAAAATTACCATGAAACAAAAAACCACAGTTTATGCACTAAACAATTAGAACGAGCAGCTGTTCAGACTATCGGCACGTTCCCACAATTCAGGATGCTCAGATTTCAGTTCTGCAGTAGAGACGCGGTGACGTGGCTGAAGGCAAAAAGCTTTTTTGTTTTTTTTTTATGCCTAACACGCAGTACCGCTATTGACGTCAGCAGAGAAGTCGGCGCAGCGTAGAAGACTGCCTACAAAAACGACTTTCACAAGTGATTTCACTTGGGACGTGACACTTTCAAGTGATTTCATAAGTGAAAACTCATGGAAAAAATCTTATTTTCACAAGTGATTTCACTTGGGACGTGTCACCGGCACGTGACAGGACATACGAAAAATGAGTATAAGGAACGAGTGAAATCCCGCGGGACTTCGAAAAATTTTCATTTGAATTTTCACATGTGAAAATGTGGACGTCCCATACAATTTTCTATATCCAGCGTCACTTGTTCTTCACTTGTGCAAGAGGACATGTCCCACGGGATTCACAAGTGAAACTTTTTTTTTGGAACTGAAGGGTAGTTACAGGTCGAATAAAAAACTGGGCTGCTTGCATATGTATGTACGAGTATATGTATATATGTTCATAGAGTCTGGGCTTGTTAACAGCATCCAATTTACTTAATTACTTCACACATAAGCTTATAAGCTAATAATTAGTAGTTTACGAAACGTTACGTTTATGTTTGTGTATATATGTGTGTATGCAAAACAGTCATTACCACACATTACCGATTTCGTTTTGTTCCGCACAGTTGCACCATATACAAAGAAGTGAATTTGCAGCGATATAGACACCGCTTATTTCGATAACTTTGCAGCAATTTCAAGAGAGGAGTTCGGTCTCTTTCTTGTCACTCTCATTTTTTCAACGTCTTCCCCTCATGTACCTCGACAACAACCGCAGAATCGAGATTGATTTTAGTTCTGAATACTAAAATCGACATCGCTTCCGTCATGAAACCGATAAGAAAAATGTGAGAAGACACAACACTAAAACCGAAAAGAAGCGATCTCGGTTTTTTCCGTTCTCAATTTTTCTGGGTATACATGTAATAAAACAAGGAAGAACGCTATAGTCGAGTACCTCGACTATCAGATACCCGTTACTCACCTAAAGGGAAATGGAAATATGCAAGCAGCAAAGCGAGGTTAGGCGAGATGCGCCACCTACCGGCGGTAGACAGATTTAAGCGATATGGGCGTTAGAGTGTTCGTGGCAAATTTGGATCAATCGATAGGTATTGACGAGACCAATACATTTCAGTTAAAATTTTTCATCTAGCATGAAAATTGTGGCCGTCACAGGTTTGGCCGGTTTGTGGGCGTTAAACTTTTTTGGCAATCTTTTTTTTCGGTCAATCAATAGGTATTGATGAGAACAATACATTTCAGTTAAAATTTTTATTCTAGCATCAAAATTGTAGGAGCCACAGTTTTGGCGGCTTGCGGGCGTTAGAGTGGGCGTGGCACTCTGCCACTCTTGCGCTGCGTAAGAAGCTCAGGAATCTGCACGCCAAATCTCAATAGCCTAGGTCTTATAGTTTCCGAGGTCTCAGCGTTCATCCGGACAGACGGGCAGACGGACATGGCTAGATCGACTCGGCTAGTGATCCTGATCAAGAATATGTATACTTTATGGGGTCGGAAACGCTTCCTTTTGCCTGATACAACTTTCCGTCGAATCTAGTATACCCTTTTACTCCTCGAGTTACATGTATAACTAAACTTTGTTTAATATTGTAATGGCTATTTAATTAGATAAATTTACGATTTTCCTTTAACAGTTTAAGTTTTTAATTTAACATTATTAATATTAACATATTGGCTAAAGATAACATATATCTTCTAGCTTCAAGAGAGGAGTTCGGTCTCTTTCTTGTCACTCTCATTTTTTCAACGTCTTCCCCTCATGTACCTCGACAACAACCGCAGAATCGAGATTGATTTTAGTTCTGAATACTAAAATCGACATCGCTTCCGTCATGAAACCGATAAGAAAAATGTGAGAAGACACAACACTAAAACCGAAAAGAAGCGATCTCGGTTTTTTCCGTTCTCAATTTTTCTGGGTATACATGTAATAAAACAAGGAAGAACGCTATAGTCGAGTACCTCGACTATCAGATACCCACACCTAAAGGGAAATGGAAACATGCAAGCAGCAAAGCGAGGTTAGGCGAGATGCGCCACCTACCGGCGGTAGATAGATTTAAGCGATATGGGCGTTAGAGTGTTCGTGGCAAATTTGGATCAATCCATAGGTATTGACGAGACCAATACATTTCAGTTAAAATTTTTCATCTAGCATGAAAATTGTTGGCGTCACAGGTTTGGGTGGCTTGTGGGCGTTAATGTGGGCGTGGCAAACTTTTTTTGGGACAATCGATAGGTATTTATGAGAACAATACATTTCAGTTAAAATTTTTATTCTACCATCAAAACTGTAGGAGCCACAGTTTTGGGCGGTTTGTGGGCGTTAGAGTGGGCGTGGCACTCTGCTGAAACAAACTTGCGCTGCGTAAGAAGCTCAGGAATCTGCACTCTAAATCTCAATATCAATA